GTAACTACAACAACATAGTTAATAGGTATTGAGTGCTAGGTATGGGGGCCAGGCCCCGTGCTAAGTACTTCATTATCTTTACTGCACCTTTACAAGAGAGGTACTGTTATTTTAAAGATTCCACCAAAAAACTATTAGAACTAAAAAATAATTCAGTAAAGTAGTAGGATACAAAATAAATATTCAGAAACGAGTTGCATTTTTATACACCAATAATGAACTATCAGAAAGGGAAACTAAGAAAACAGTCCCATTTACAACTGCATAAAAAAAATAAAGAAAAAATACCTAGGAATAAATTTAACCAAGGAGGAAAAAGACCTGTACTCAGAAAACTATAAGATGTTGAATAAAGAAACTGAAGATACAAATAATGGAAGCATATACTGGGCTCATGGGTAGGAAGAATTAACATCATTAACTGCCCTAAGCAATCTATAGATTGAATGCAATTCCTATCAAAATACCAATGGCATTTTCACAGAATTAGAACCAATAATCCAAAATTTTATATGGAACCACAAAAGACCTCAAACAGCCATGATAACCTTGAGAAAACAGAATGAAGTTGGAGGTATCACAGCATATGATATCAAATGGTATTACAAGGCCATAATAATCAAAACAGCATGATACTGGCATAAAAATAGACATATAAAACAAAATAGCCCAGAAATAAACCCATGCCTATATGGTCAATTAATATTTGATAGAGGAGGCAAAACCATACAATCGGGTAAAGACTTTCTATTCAGTAAGTGCTGTGGGGAATATTGAACAGATACATGCAAAAAAAAAAAAAAAAATGAAACCAGACCACCAACTTACACCATATACAAAAATAAACTCAAAATGGATTAAAGGCTTAAATGTAACACTCAAAACCATAAACTTCTAGAAGAAAACATAGATGGTAAAATCTCTGACATTTAGCAATATTTTTTCTGATATATCTTGTTGGGCAAGGGAAACGAACTAAAAAATAAACAAGTGGAACTACATCAAATTAAAGACTTTTTGCACAGCAAGGGAAACAACAACAAAATGAAAAGACAACCTACTGAATGGGAGGACATATTCACCAATGATGCATCTGATAAGGGGGTTAATGTACAAAATTTATAAAGAACTCATACAACTCAACAACCCCTCTCCCCCAAAACACACACACACAAAACACACACACACACACACACACACACACACACACACACACACACAATCCAATTAAAAAGTTGGCAAAGGATCTGAATAGACACTTCTCTGAAGGGGACATACAGATGACCAATAGACATATGAAAAGTTATCAATTGGTAGTAAATTGATAACAAAGTTTTTAATTGGTAGTTAAAAAATAGTCACCAGAATGTAAAGTACAGCATAGGGAATATAGTCAATAATGTATGTATCGTGCCAGGTGGGTTCCTGAAAATATCTGGGGGAACACTTTGTAAAGTATATGATTGTCTAACCACTATGCTGTACACCTGAAACTAATAAAAATAATATTGAGTTAAACTGTAATTGAAAAAATAAAATTTTAAAAAAGAAAGGAGGAAAGTGGCTGAGAGAAACAAGATAACTTGCTGTGGATCGCATGAGTCGTAAATGACAGACCTGGGACTTGAACCTAGCGCTGTCTAAACTCAAAACCTTGTGTTCTTCAAACAGAAAGAACAGAGGAGATCCAGGATGAGCACAGGTTTCCTGAGCCTATTCACAGCACACACTGCCAAGTCAAAACGCTGTGGGGATGAAGGTGTCAGTGAGGGTGACTCAGTGTCACAGCGAGGGGTAGGTGTGAGAGGTCTGGCACCCTCAGGCCCAGGCCTCACCAGCTATAGTCCAGGATCCATAGCTGCCAGCATGGTCTTATCTATATATATAAAAGCCAAGCGACTAGAACGACCAGAATGACTGGTCGCTATGACGTGCACTGTGGCAGCCAACCAGCCTGATCAGGGGTGGGGCCGGTTGGCCAATTTCCCATGTCCCCTCCCCACTACCAGCCCAGCCCCAATCGACCCCGATCTGGGCAGGCCAGCCAGACCCCACTGGTGCATGAATTTATGCACTGGGCCTCTAGTTACAAATAAGATATTAACTCATAGGCATAGATGACAAATATCTTTGTTGATTCTAAAGCACCATATGAAAGTTTGTTGTCATTATTGTATGGTTATTCCTATTCAGCTGGTGGTGTATCCAGGGAACTCACCATAGCTCAGATCACTGCAGTGGTGCCTGTGATATCAAATGGCAACTGAGAACATAACCTGACTTGAAATTTCTGTTCATATTAGATCACAACACCTGAAAGTCTTTGAGCTTCGCTTATGGATTTTTTCAGTAAAACCCAATGTGTACAAGCACTCATTAGCCAGGTGTTTTCATCATTTGCTAGCTGCCTGGTGCTGAAATCAGACTTTATGTTCAGCCTTGGGTGACCAACAGCCCTCCTGGCTCTTCAGAGCTTAGTTAGAGGGACACTTAAAAACCCCAAAACAGACGTAACAGGACCCCAGGCCTCCTCTCTCAAGTCCCAGGCAAGAGGTCGGGAAGCCAGCCTCCTGTGTCCAGGAGAGAAAGGGCCACGGGCTGTGCTGCAGGCTTCTTGGGCATCCTCAAGGCCGTGCTAAATGGGATTGCCTGGAAGAACATCCAAATCCCTTCACTGTCTGAGGCCCGCCTCCTCCACAGAAGCCTTTTCCAGCATGGCGGCCCATCCAGTCCTCTCCCACCTCTAAGGTCCTATTGTCTTAAATGCTTGTGCCACCCACTCAGACACTGAAGCCCGGTCTTGTGGTGTCAGCTATGCACTTTCTGTATGTCTGTGCCATTTCTTTCCTGGTGACAATCACATGTTGACTTGTGCCAACACTGATGATCGGGTTGGTCAACGTCACCTTGTTTGAGAGAGGGCTGAAGGGGGCTACTTCATCATTGTAAGTGCCACGATGTCCTCAGTGGACTTCTGTTTTGGTGTTGAGTGCTGCCTCTCTGTCCAGGGTATATGTCCTTTGAGAACAGGTATCTTGTAATCTTGGCTTCAATGAGAATGTGTGCCTGGCATACCCTGGGGACTTAGTGACAACGTATTGCTCAGTATCGGGCAAAGGGCTAGTGTCCCATCCAGATCAGCTCCCTCTGGTGCTAGCCATTTGTGTAACACCTTACTTCTCTTCCACTGCAGTAACCATGATTTGTATCATACATTCATTAATTTGTGAAGACCTTTTTGGTTCTCCCCTGTGTCCCCAGCACTCAGTACAAAGCCTAGAACCAGGTAGGACCAGGTGAAGACTGGGTCAATAACTACACATCTGAACAAATCAGCTTGGTCCCTGTAGGAGAAGGCAAAGGTGGAGACAGGGGGAGTTAGCACCTGGGTGCTGGCAGTGTCTGAAGGGAGGTCAGCTTCAGAAGGCCACGCGGAATAATGGCAAACACTTTGGCTCAGAAGTCGGGCACCTGGGGGCAGGCATTTTCCTGCACTAAGGTTTATTTTTTTATGTAACCTTGAGATTATCTTGTGAGGGTTGAAGGAGATATTTTTGTGAAATTGCTTTTGTAAGCCATAAAGTGGCATGGCAAGATGTTATTCATCATCCTAAGATCTGGTCCCTGCCTACCCATCCAAATTTATTCCTTATTAATTTGATTTATCTAGGCCAGTGTTCTCATTTTTTAAAATGTGTTTTTCCCTCATTGCAAAAGCACTACATTGTAATAATAAAACTATTAGGAAATTCAGAAGGAAGGCAAAATAAATCATCTCTTAAGACTACCACCTAGAAATAACACTATTAACATCTTATGTAGAGCCAAAATATATTTTCTAAATATGTATAACCTAAGTTTCCCAGGTGTCGGCAGCTGGGGACAGTCAGGGCAACATTACTCTCCATTCTGCCTGGCTCTGGCTCTGCTGAAGGCTGCTGCCTGGGTGGGGCTTCCACACCTTGGTTGCTTCCAGCAGCAATGCCCCTGAGGGGTAGGTACTGAAAGCTGACTTCTTCCAACACTTTTCATTTTCTGAAAATACTTACTGGGTTTATATATGTATTGCTTGTCTCTCTCCACTGGAATCTAGGCTCCACAGGTGCAAAGCTTGCTGGATTCGCATTATTGCTGCTTGTCTGGCACCTAGAAAAGTGCCTGCACAGAGCAAACATTCACTGGATGGTTGAATGAACACCTGAGAACTGCATTACCTCATATAGAACACCAGGCACTTGCTTCAGATGAGTTGTGCATGTGAACCCTACAGAGACCAAGGTTGCTGGGAATACACATCTGGTCTGCCAGATCTAGTGATTATTGGAGATTTGGCCTCAGCAGGGGTACAACAGAGAATCCCAGCCTCCTTTGCAGTCACTACAGCTGCCTGCAGTAATTTCAGGCATGCCCTCAGACCATGTTACTTAGCATGAGGCCAAAGCATTCTGCAAAGTTTGTCCCCAAGTTCACAGTGCTAATTAATGGCATCTCCCTGTCCCAGAACCTGTTCCAGCACCGTTTAGGTTGGTACCCATATGGGGCCCTTAGGTTTTTCTTACTTACTATACTACTGCAGAGCTTTCTTAGGTAGGGCAGTGATTCTGGCCACAATTCTCTTTCTCCATCTTCAAGGGTAAGCTTCCACAATGGTGCAGACAGCGTTTGTGGATCAGATGCAAAAGCTGAAAGATCACTGCTGAGAGCTGGGGTTGCTGAAAGGGGGTGTCCAGTTAGCCCCAAGGCTATACCCCCTGCTTAGGCACAAGAGTCAGCCTCTGCTGGGCTGGACCCATCTCCAGACTCAGGTTGCTATGTAGACTTCCCACTGTAATCCCTCCATCTCTCCTCATCTCCAAAACCTGGAAAAGGATGGGACGAGGCCTGTTTTCTGAGGGGCATTGCAACCCTAGCGAGAGGGACATTTCCCCCCATTGCCATAAACCCCTTCCTCTGCGGCTCCTGGGGGAAAGACGGCGTTTTCATCTCTGTGTGTTTCCTAGGCGGGATTCAAACACGGGTCACAAACATGCTCTCCAGATCTGAAGCGTTACCCTTGCTCTGAGGAGCCGGGACCTGCCAGGTGAGTGAGAGATCAAAAGGTGGACAGGGTACCCCACAGCCCCTGGTCCTCAGGCCTGAAATCTGTGAAGCCTGTGTGGGTGTCTTTGCTGCTGTTTTTAATATTTATGAGAATCATTAGCAGGCGCTTAGCTTCCAGAAACTGAGTTCATCAGATGGCCATTATTTTTCCCAGTCTACTTGAGGACACAGTTTTCTCCCCACTCCTCTCCCCCTGCCCCAGCTTTATTAAAATATAATTGACATATGACATTATATAACTTTAAGGTACACATAATGATTTGATATTTGAATATATTGTAAAATGATCACCACAATAAGTTTAGTTAACATCCATCACCACACATAGTTACAATATTTTTTCCTGTTACAAGAAGTTTTAGAATTTGCTCCCTTAGAAAATACAGTATTGTTAGCTGTAGTCACCATGCTGTATGTACGTTACACCCCCAGGACATACTCCCCTTGTAACTGGAAGTTTGTTCTTTTCTACCACCTTCACCATTTCTCTCCCCTTTGGCATTGGAAGAAAATATGAGAAGTCATAGGCATATAGGAGAGACTTTATCGCAGACCTAGTAGCCATTGATAACAAGGAGCCATCAGACAAAGCAGCTCTTCAAAGTAGCCCCACAAAGCAGCTGCGTACCTGCTGGCCAGTAACACCTCTTTATACCAACTTAGAAAAAAGAGGCTTCTTGCCAAATAGGGACATCAATATTTGGGTTATAGAGAGGTACGCCTGCGCAGTGCGAGCAGTAAAACTGCTGTGTCATTGCCTTTGCACATGCATATGGCAAATTGGCCTTGAACATCCTGTTTAGGTTCCCACCCCCCCACACCCCACCCCAGGTAGCCACCAATCTGTATTTGGTACCTATTTCAGTTTGTTTTTTATTTTGTTTTGAATTCCACATGTGAGATCATATAGTATTTGTCTTCTTTGTCTGATTTATTTAATTTAGGGTAAAGCCCTTCCATCCAGGTTGTCGCAAATAGCAGATTTCCTTTTTTTTTTTTTTTTTTTTTTTTATGGCTGAATAATATTCCATTGTGAATATATGCCACCTCTTCTTTATCCATTTATCATTCATGGATACTTAGGCTGTTTTTATATCTTTGCTATTTTGAATAATGCGGCAATGATTCTGAATGCCACAGGGAAGCATGATCAGGCCTGCGTTTCAGGAAGGTCCCCTGGGCAATGCTGTCACGGCCTTGTTTAGCAGTTTTTGTTTTTTAAAGCAGTTTGGTAATATGTATTAAGAACCTTTAACATTTGCATATAAAGTGCTCTTTGGCTCAATAATATTACCTCTGGAAGTAGTAAGAGTGATTTCCACTTATGTAGTGCTTATTGTACCAGATATTTTTGATAAGCTATTTTTAAATCTTTGTAACAATTATGCAGAGTGGGAATCATTGGTCATATTTTACAGATAAATAAACTGAGGTTTTAAAGAATCAGGCAAGCTTAGGACTGAGTTCACACTCTGTCACTAATTAGCTGTCTTCCTAGGTCAATTTGTTTACCCTCTCTGAAGCTGTTTCCTGAGGTAGGACTGCTTTCTAGAAAATGCCAACCAGGATGAAATACCAGCTGCTTTTTTTGGACTCTCCACTCATTTGGGGTATCTCTGCCAGAGCTGACCTCCATTTCCTTAGACATTTAAGATTAAGTAAACCAGCCAGAATCGAACAGTGCGGAGAGCTGTGGACAGTGGCTTTGCATTGGGGGAAAATTCTGAGTTGTTTCTCCTACAGTTTTCCTGTGTGCATGCACATGGCTCTTCTCATCTCTGCCCCCAAGTATTTGTGTCTTATGTCCCTGCAAGACTGTAAATTCATTGAGGAAAGGGCTGGTCATAAACGTATCTTTGTATCTCTCCCAGCATCTGCTGGTTCAGTGCCTTCCATGTGCCGAGGGAAAGCTCAAAGTTTAGTTTTTTCAGAAGCAGTTGGGATATCATGATCCAAGGGAAAGCAGGTACTTTGAGAGTGAAGAGCTAAGAGGTGGGGGCCTGGGAGTAGACACAGAAAAGATAAATATTAGGGTTGGAGGCTTGGCAGCGAAGACTTGAAACTGAAGAGATCTGGGAGAATGCATTTAATGGCAAACATGCAAAATGTCCTCATTAGTGCTAAACCAAGAGAATTGTCTTAGGTTGGTTTCTCAGATGCAGATCCCGAGAGGGGGACCAATGGGCAAGTGATTTATTCAGGAAACGTTCCCAGGAGGACAAAGTAAAGGAGCAGGAAGCAGGGCAGGAGAGGGGAAGAAGCCAGAGTGATGTCAGGCAGGCTCCAGTCTTAGCCTGGACCCACAGACTCTAAAGTACTTTGCTCTAAAGTACAAATCACAAGGCAGCGTTTGTCCCTGCTGGAGGCCAGGGCACTGGGCTTTCACACGTATGCACCAGCCATCGGGTCAGGGCTGAGAGGTGACGAGAAACTCAGGCACTTCTGGCTCCGTCCATGTGGACAGTGTGGCTCCAGCACCCAAGTGCCAGCCTTCTGAGAGTCAACAGGTGGAAGGAGTTAGAAAAGGCACGTAGAAGCTGGGTGTGGGGTTTGGAGAGGTGTACATATATCCTGGGGGTGTGGCTGGGGCGGCGAAAGGGTCGCCTTGATAACTGTACCCCTACCCAGTGGTACCTCCTGATGTGTGGATCCCCGCTTCCTCCTCTGCAAAGGGCGGGTAGTGCTATGTGCTCATGTTGCAGAATGATAGGGAAACAGAACAAAATGAGAGCCCAGGCGTAGACCCGTGCTGGCAGCAAGGCAGCACGGAGCCATTATCCGCGGGCAGGTGCTGTTATTGCATCCTTCCCTTCCGGGCCCAGAGGCTATGTTAGCTCCGTCCTCGAAGGACAGCCTTGCAGGCATCAACGGGGACCGTCTTGGAAAAGAGCCTGTCGCGTTGGAAAGAAAGCAGGCACTTTTTAAATGTTGACAAATTTTGCAGCGGTTTCTTTAACATATACCAGCCACCTTGAACTACATCTAATTAAGCACCAGACACCATGCTGTGGCTGTGTTTGGCTTTGATGTGCTCATCAGCATAGTGGGGAGCTAATCATAACAGGACTTAGCTCTTATAAAATGCCTTTTATCTTCGGAGTGGTTTACAACCACTAATTATTAGAGGAATTAGGGTGAACAGCAGCCGTCTCACAGAGACCTGCAGCCGCTATCCAGGGCCTTTGATGTATCCTATCATAGAGCCAGAGAAGTGGGAAGGGGTGTTTATTAATGGTTGTCCAGACCTGGAAGAGGTGTTTATAGGAGACAGCTGTTCTCTTTCTCCCTTGAGACTAGAACAAGGAAATTGAGCCTAATTTGAGGAAAAAGCAGGCAAGATATAGTGGTTGCATAAGTGATAGCCAGCCAGCCACCGAGTGGTAAGTTCGCCTTTTCAAAGGCGCCTGCATACACTTGCCCCTTTATATGGGCTGGCGGAGCACATGGCTCTCCTGGTGGCCTGTGGTGGGTGACCTTATACCACCAAGTCCCATGCAGCCGAGGTAGTCAATGGGCTTGTTTCCACTAGACCAAGCAGTATGTTTTAATGGGCCTCTTCATTGTATTCCTCTTATAATTTTTTTTGTTTTGTTGCTTTTTGTTTATTAGTTTGTTGGATTAGAATTTGATCTGGGGTGTAGGGTTTGAGTTCTACAATAATAAGAACAGTAACAAGAGCTCACACTCCTAAGGTACCATCCCACCCTCATGTTACAGGTGAGGAAAGAGGCTCAGGGAGCTGAAGAAACCTGTTTGTGGCCACATGGCTGGTGCCCCAGGTGGTCTGGCATCTGGCCTTGGAGTCTGTGTTCTTATCAGTAAGAGGCCTATCGGAGAAGGGGTGGGATTTGCCCAAAGCCCCCGCCCCCGCAACTGTCAAAGAGGCACATGGCAATCTCATAGGGAGCAGGGAAGGTCTGGTTTCCAGACTGGCCTAGCTCCTGTGCTGACACTTGACTCTTGAGCAGTGGGTGTGTGTGTATGTGGGTTTTAGGACCTAGCAGGGGTGTGGGAGGCAGCCCCCTGAAGAAGCAGCTTGGCCACTCTGCCCTCCCTGAGAAGATCCTCACATCTGCTGCCTGGTCCCAGCAGAGGATCCACAGAGCCATGGGGAGGGGCAGGGGCATGGGCATGGACAGCAGCCAGGCCACCTGTGGAACCCGGATGTTTGGTTAAAGCACTTTCCCCCATGTACTAAGAAGGATTTAAAACAGGCCCCGCCCTGTAAGTCCAGGGTGGGGACACAGTCTACAGTGGCATCAGCTGCCATGGCCTGTGCAGACAGTGCCGGGGACACGGAAATGACCTCTCAGGACACCTGGGCAGAAACACAAGCATCACAATTTCTTCCTTGTGGAAATATGGACACCCAGGAATATTCAGGTATGATAACCTAGGGCAGCGGTTCTCAACCTGTGGGTCACGACCCCTTTGGCGGTCGAACGACCCTTTCACAGGGGTCGCCTAAGACCATCCTGCATATCAGATATTTACATTACGATTCATAACAGTAGCAACATTACAGTTATGAAGTAGCAACGAAAATAATTTTATGGTTGGATCACAACATGAGGAACTGTATTTAAAGGGCCAGAAGGTTGAGAACCACTGACTTAGGGCTTTCCCCCACCCGGCCCAGAGAATGAATGTTAAATACTTCAGTGTCTTTTTTTCCCCCACAACACCATTCTGATACCAAATGTGTGTCCTTTGACTCAATTCAATTTTGACAGTAACATAGACCCCACGGATTAAGGGCTCAGTCTCACAAGACTGTCCTCACTTGGATGCCAGTCCCAGATTGTCGCTCATGTGTGTGACTGACCAGCTATACACAACCCCCTCCTCAGGTTCAGTAATTCACTGGAACAACTCCCAGGGCTCAGGAAAGCACTTCAGTTACTTTTGGTTACTGATATCAGCTTATAAAGGATGTAACTCAGGAACAGCCAGAGGGAAGAGGTGAGCGGGGCAAAGTGTAGGGAGAGGGTGCGGAGCCTCCGTGCCCGCCCAGAGCACAGCTCCAGGTACTTACGGACTGGAAGCTCCCCGAGCCCTGGGCGAGGGCTTTCCTGGAGGTTTTGTCACACAGGCATGATTGATGAAATAACCGTCCCTCTCCTTCCTAGAGGTGGGAGGGTGGGGGGGACCTGAAAATCCTGACCCTGTAATCACATGGGTGGCTCCTCTGGCAATCAGCCCCACCCAGAAGCTCTCTAGGGCCTGCCTCCAGTAAGCTCATCAGCATATACTCAGGTATGGATGAAAGGGGCTCCTTATACATTGCCAAAGATACCCCTTTCACTCAGGGAATTCCGAGGGTTTTAGGAGCTCTGTGCTAGGAACCAATATTTTTCATTATACCACAAATAGTCACCACTCTGAGCCCTCACTCTCAATGGCCTTAATAAGAAACCAACACACATTTATTGAGCAACTGTTGTACGTGAAGTACCAGACTGGGAATTGGTGGGGCACTTTTCATTCAAATGAGCAAATATCAATTTAATTCTTATTAAGATTTATTAAGGAGGCTTCTGCCTTGAGGAAAAAAGGAGAAATACCAGGTTGTCACCCATGTGTCTGACTGACCAGCTATATATTCTGGGTTTGATTCCACCAGACCAAGCAGTATGTTCTAATGCCCGAAGCATGAAAGCGCACTCAGAGACACAGATGCCTGGGTGGTCAGGGAGGACTTCTTGGAGGAGGTGGGCTGGAAACTGGGCTCTAAAGGCACATGCAATACCGAGAGTTGGGGCAGACCTAGGGAGTGTTTTTACAGGAGGGAGAAGGATTGAGAAACTTCCCTTGTTGAGTCCTAGAAAACAAATGTAGCCCTCTTATGCACCTGGTCTTTTCTCTGACCTCTCAGTGGTGTGAAGTTTGAGTCCCAGCTCAACTTGCTCATGACCCGAGACGTACCGCTTAACCTTTTGGAGAATGAGATTCTCATTAGTAAAAGCAGAAAAAGGCAGCCAGTCCTGACATCTTCACAGGATCACTATGGAAATGAGATCACAGAAGTGAAAGTTCTTTTTAAACTACAAAGTGTAATTAGTGCCATTATTGGTTTATAGTGTGTCTTTAATTATTTCATCACCTCCCAAACAGTGATCTTACTATCAGAATTTTGAACTAAAAGGTTAATATTGAAAATGCCTTAGAAATAATCACAAGAGCTAACATTTATCACCTCCTCACTAGGAGCCAGGCATAATTTCAAGGTCTTTTACATGCTTTATGCTGCTTAGTCCTCACATGAAGTAGATGCATTTTACAGATGGAGAGACTGAGTCCTGGAGAGGTTAACTTGCTCAAGGTCACGCAGCTAGGAGGTGGTGGAGGCAGGATTTGAACCTGGGAAATTTGGCCCTTACCAACCCTCTGTGTTGGATTCCTCTTTTCCGTGGGGAGGAAGAGAGAGACGGAGTTTTCTCTCTGCTCTGGTCCCTAGCCTTTCCCCACCTCACCCTCCACATTTTTTCCTGTTGCCGGTGGAAATGAGGTTCTTGTGGTGTCGAGAGAAAAGCGTTTCAGGGATCATGCATGGAGGATTTGAGGTAGTGTTAAGATTTATTGAAGCTGAAGAAAACACAATGGATTGTTTCCAGGATGAGCCAGTGTCTCATCCACGGCCAGGTGGTCAAACTCCGTCTCGCTGTGGAAGAAGTCCAGCCTACGCTCATCAAGCCCAGAAGGAGGTCCAGGATCCAGAAATCCTGTGTCATCAGTTCAGTCGATGCCAAAGCTTAGTCCAGCTCAGGCCCTGTCCCCGTCCAGCTCGCTTAGTCCTTGTTTCCAGGTGAGCTCCGCCTGGGGCTGCATTGCCGGGCCCAGGCCAGCACGTGGAGCCCATGCTTGGGCCTGAACATGCAAGTGCGCAAACACACCAACAAACCAACGCCTGTTACCCAGAGAGACCTTAGTTAAGTTTGTATTATATTACCTCGGGCTTTCAAACTGAAAAGCCCAATCTCTTTCCCAATCTTTTGCAGGCCCTTTTCCCAGGCTAGATGCCTCTCCCTTACGGTTCCCATCTTGGCTCCTACTGGGCATGCGCCCAGCAGAGGAATTTTCCCTTAATTGTTATATCTCTCCCTCAGTAATCCCAGCTAATGGCCAGTAACCAATCTTTCCCAAGTGCTTCAGGAATTAGAGGATTGGGGGCAGGGGGAAGGGGGAGTGGGGGCGACTGGAATGTGCGAAGCTGTAGCTTTCAACCTCATTAAGCTCAGCCAGTATTGCTCCCTTGTTTATTAGGCTTAATGTCTGATCCATTTGCTCCCTTCCTATATTTACAACTAACTAGCTACCTAGGCAAACACTCCCTAGAGAAAAGCAGGGTTGGGGTGCCATGTGGGAGGCCTAGAACCTCTCCTCACCCCACCTACCCCTGTGATGCTACTGGGGAGCCGCCCACATCAGGGAGCCTGACCATTTCCATGTCTTTTGGCAACTTCCAGGGGCCAGTGCTTGCCTCTTTGCCTGGATCTTTCCTGCACCCACTCCACACATGGCAAAGTGGAGTGCAGGTAATTAATGCCCCCAGGAGCAGCCCGCACCCAGTGACTGATAGGGTTGATATATAAATACCCCAGCTTCTTTGCCCCTGGGGTTGGATCATTGAGACATGTAGTGTATACCGAGCTGCAGAGTGCCCTGGGATTAAGCTCAAGGAAGGTACAGTGCTTTCCAAAAGTCTCCCTCCCCTCCCCTCCCCTCCCCTCCCCTCCCCTTTTCTCTCTCCAGACAAACCACTTTGACTGAAATCTTTGTCTCAAGGTATTCTGTGACATAACCTGCTAAGGGCTGAATTGCACCCGCCCCACAAAAAGGTATGTTTTAAATCCATCTTAGTACGTGGGGGAAAAGTGCTTTAACCAAACCTCTGGGTTCCACAGGTGACCTGGCTTCTGTCCATGCCCTTGCCCCTCCCCGTCCCCATAGCTCTGGGTGGACCTTCTGCTGGGACCAAGGCAGAGAGGCAGGTGTGAGAATCTTCTCAGGGAGGGCAGAGTGGCCAAGCTGCTTCTTTAGGGGGCTCCTCTCTCCACCCCTTCCAACCCACCCTCCCAATTCTCCTCTCCCCTAACCACTGCTCAAGTGTCAGCACAGGAGCCAGGCCAGTCTGGAAACCAGACCTTCCCTGTTCCCTATGATATTGCCATGTGCTTCTTTGACATGTGGTGGTGGGGGGCTTTGGGCAAATCCCACCCCTTCTCGGATAGACCTCTTACTGTGGGATAGGCCTCTTACTGATAAGAACACAAACTCCAAGGCCAGATGCCAGACCACCTCGGGCACCAGCCATGTGGCCACAAACAGGTTTCTTCAGCTCCCTGAGCCTCTTTCCTCACCTGTAACATGAGGGTGGGATGGTACCTAAGGAGTGTGAGCTCTTGTTACTGTTCTTATTTCTGTAGAACTCAAACCCTACACCCCAGATCAAATTCTAACCTAACAAACTAATAAACAAAAAGCAACAAAACAAAACAAAAATATTATATGAGGGATACAATGAAGAGGCCCATCAATCTCCCATTGGCTGCCCTGGCTGCATGGGACTTGGTGGTATAATGTCACCCACCACAGGCCACCAGGAGGGCCATGTGTCCCTCCAGCCCATACCAAGGGGCAAGTGTATACAAGCACCTTTGAGAGGGTGACCTTACCATTCTGTGGCCCACCAGGCACCATTCTTTGTATCTCACACCCATTCTTCCTGGAGCTGCCTTTGGAACCCTTCCAGCAGCAACCCTCCTGCCCCCTCTGCATTTTGACAAGACTCACCTGTCTCTGCCTTCGTGTGCAGCCAACTCAGAGCTAATGGTAAAGACTTGGGCTGTTGCTGCCTAGGGAGCATCCCTCCACGCGAGCTGGGTAATCAAGGAGATCTGATGGATCCCGAAGATGCTGTGAGGCCTTTGATTCCTAACTGTGTGCTGCAGGAGAGATGCAAGGGAGATTAGGGTGGATTAGTAGCCGCTTTCAAGTTTGCAAGGGATGTGGCATGCAGGGAGCTACCAGCTGTTCTCCATCTCTGCTGAGCCCAGAGTGAGGGGGAAATTATCTTAGAAACCTTAGGAAGGGCTTAGGCTTGATCTTAGAATTACTTTGGAAGTCTGGGAAATGTTCCTGGAAATGGTTGAGGGCTAGATAACTTCCATCTGTGTTCAAAGGCTTTTATGAACTCATTCTGGTGGGGAGAAGAGCGGCCTGCTCTGAGGGACAGGCAGATGAACAGTAGTTTCTCTGACCATACTGTTGCCTGTTTGTAGCTCTGGTTTTTTTCTTAATCCTTTCACCTTTTTCACCCAGCCTCGCTTCCCCTTTGATAGCTCTGAGTCTGTTTCTATTTTGTTAGTTTCTTTTGTTCATTAGATTCCACATGTAAGTGAAATCATATAAGGGGTGGGGGAAGCAGGAGAGGATAAAGGAGGAATAAGTGGTGATAGAAAGAGACATGACTTGGGGTGGGAAAGGCACAATACAATATCTGGGTGATGTATTATAGAACTGTACTCCTGAAACCTATATCATTTTATTAACCACTGTCACCCCAATAAATTCAGTTTTCATAAAAGCAGTTTCTCTGTCCTCGTCGTGAAGGTGATGGCCCTTTCCCTTGGCCTTGGACCACACCCCACTACTTCCCTTTTGTAGAAATGCTGTCTGCTGCTCTGACAACTCTTTGAAACAGAAAGCTGTCTCCAGCTCTGAGTCAGGACATCCTGGGCTCCATCCAAATGGGAGACCACAGAGCGTATCACTGAGCTTCCACTTTCTTTTGAGTTGAAAGGAGATTGCTTCTGTTGTTTTGTCTTCCGCTCCCTTTGGAAGACCCACAGGTGCTGTGCAAAGATTGCAGGCCAAGACCAGCCAAGAAGTAAGAGGAAGGGGGCTGAACTCAGCATGGAATGGGCTTCAGGAGGGGCTCTGCCTGCTCCCCTTTTTTTCAGAGGAGGGACTGAGAGTTTTCACAGGGAAATTACTTAATTTTCAGCTGTTTCCTGCTTGTTAGATTGAATGTAAAAGGAGGACTCAAGCTCCTGAGATGGAGTACCATAGGCAGGGCTGGATTTGCAAGTCCTGGAGGACATAAGAAGGTTCTGGCCTGGACCTACGGTATTCTTTTTAAATACATTTATTGAGCTATTGACATGCACAAACTGCACATATTTAAAGTATATAATTTGATAAATTTTGATATATATCTATATATATGTGTGTATATATATATATGTACATATCTCCCACAATTAAGATTGCGAATATATTCACACCCCCCAAAAAAAGTTTCCTCTTAATTTATTTGCAATCCCTCTTATTCACCCTTCTCCTTCCTTATCTCTTTTCTGTCACTATAGATTGTCTTCATTTTTTAAATAATTTTATATACATTAAATCAATTAGTATGTATCAGTACTAGTACTCTTTTTTTGTCTGGCTTCATTCATTCACATGATTGTTTTGTTGCTTGGGTCAATCAATAGTGCCTTCCCTTTCCTGGGAGTAGCAGTCCATCGAATGCAAAACAACACAATTTGTTTCCCACTCTGCTGGTGAGCATTTCTGTTGTTTTGGTTACTATAGCTAAAGCTTTTATAAACATTCATGTGCAAGTCTTTGTATGGACATATGCTTTGATTCTCTTGGATGAAATATTTAGGAGTGGGGTGACTGGATCATTGGGTAGAAGTTTGTTTGACTTCTTAATGAAACTGATAAATGTTTTCCAAAGGGATTGTACCATTCTACATTCTGCCCTGCAGTGTAAGAGAGTGCCACCCAATTGTGCCACATCCTTGCCAAGACTTGGTATGGTCAATCTTTTTCCTTTTAGCTATTCCAATAAGTGTGTGGTGGTATTTTGTTGCAGTTTAAGTTGTATTTCCCTTGTGACTAATGATGTTGAACATTTTCATGTAGTTATTTGATATCTATATATCAATTGCCTGTTCAAATGTTCTGCCCATTTTAAAAATTGAGTTGTTTATCTTCTTATGAGTTTTGAGAGTTATTTATATAAACTGAATCAAAATACTCTATCAGATATGTGCTTTGCAAATGTTTTCTCCCAGTCTATAGCTTAAATGGCATCTTTTAAAGAGCAGAAATTTAAAATTTTAATAAAATCCGAATTATTGGTGTCACAAAGATGTTCTTGAAGTTTTATATATTTTGATTTTACATTTAGGTCTGTGATCCATTTTGAGTCAATTTTTGTATGTGGCATAATGTACAAATTGAAATTCTTTTGCAAATAGATATCCAATTATTCTAGTACCATTTACTGAAAAGATTATGCTTTCTCTGCTGGATTGACTTTGCATGTTTGTCAAATCTGTTTTTGGATTCTATATTCTGTATTCTATGCCATGTATCTATTTTTCTGTCTTCATGCTGATTCCACACTACCTTAATTACTATAGATTCATGTCTTGAAATCAAGCAGTGTTAGTCTTCCAGTTTTGTTATTTTTCAAAACTATTTTGGCTATTCTAAATTTATCTTTATTTGTATTTCCATACAAATTTCAGAGTGGCTTGTCAATCTCTATCTCTGCTGGGATTTTGTTTGGGATTGAGATGAATCTATACCTGAATTTAGGGAGAAATAGCATCTTAGTGTGGAGTCTTCCAATTCGTGGACATGCATATATCTCCATTTACTTCTGTTTTCTTTAATTTCTCTTATCAATATTTTGTAGCTTTCAGTGAATAGGTATTACACATTTTGTCAGATATATCCCTAAGTATTTCATATTTTTATGCTATTGTAAGTGATACTTTCATTTCAACTTTTTATTACAGAAATATAATTGATTTTTATATAGAGCACTTGTATCCTTTGAATTTGTCAAAGTCACAGATTAGTTACAGTAGCTTTTTGTGGACTTTATCAGATTTTCCACATAAACATTAATATCTAGGAATAAAGACAATTTACTTCTTCCTTTTCCAATCTAGATCTTTTGGGGGTTTTTCTTGCCCTATCCTTGCCTTGGAGGCTAGACTCTCCAACACAATGTTGAATAGAAAGTGGTAAGAGCAGACATTCTTATCCTTTTCTTGATCATAGAGGAAAGTATTTGGTTTTTCATGATGAAGTATGATGTTAGCTGTTGGTTTTTTGATAGGTGCTCCTTTTCAGGTTGGACAGACCTCCTTTACATTCCTTGTTTTCTGAGAGCTTTCACCCAGAGTGGCTGTTGGTTTTGTCAAAAGCTTTTTCTGCATCTATTGAGATGATCATAATGTTTGTCTTTTTTAAGTTGTTAATTTGGTGAATGATGTTATTGATTTTCAAATGTTAAACCATTCTTGCATTACTTGGATAAAACTACCCTTGATCAGGATGTATTATTTGTTTTATATATGGTGTTGGTTTCAATCTTTTAGTATTTTCTAAAGAATTTTTACATCTATATTCACGAGGGATATTGGCCTGTATTTTTCTTTGTTAGTAATGTCTTTGTCCAGTTTTGGTATCAGGATAATCTTGGCCTCATAGAATATGTTAGGAACTATTTTATCTTCTTCAATTTTTTGAAAGAGTTTGCATAGAATTGGTATTCGTTTTTCTTTTAATATTTGGTAGAATTCATCATTGTAGCCATCTGGGCCTCTCAGCTTTTTGTAGAAAGATTTTTAACTGTCAGGTTAATTTTTAAAATAGATATAGTTTATTCATGTTATCTATTTCTTTTACTCATGTTATCTATTTCTTTTTTCTCTTCATCTTTTATTTATTTATCTTTAATTTATCTTTATTGTTGATAGATGTTGATAGTATTATAGATGTCCCTCTTTTTTCCCCTATTGACCCCTCTAAC